CTGCTTGAGCAAACCATCAGTGGCATCAAGGCAGCATGGCTGCCCTTCAACACGTTACCATCATACTGAAAGAGGGAGGTAGTTAAAAATAGATTAAAAATATATCAAACACGCAGCGTAAGCAACTGCCACCAGGTTCTGCCTATGTGAGATGCTGTGTTTTGGAAGAGGGAAGTGGCTGATCTTAGAGGGTCCATGGGAATTCTTCAATAATGCTACTGCCTGTACTTTCATCACTGCTTGTTTCTGTGATATTAGACTTGGCAGAGCTGTTGCTTACAGGGTTTTTCTTTGGGTTAGGGTTAGAAAATCCTAAAGCTGTCATTTTGTGAGTGATACTCTTCTATAAACTGTTTGGACTTCTATAAATATTTCTGACTCCATGCAGGGCATTATTATCTAATCTCCCAGGGAACGTCTCTAATCACAGTCTACCCGCCCATGTCAATCTAGGACACATCCAACCCTTAGAAATAGCAGTGGAGAAATCATAAAATGTTCTAACACATGGGGTTGGCAGACAAGTGCGAGACAAGATCACAAACTGTGCAAAATGAACAGTTTGCAATGGAACATGCTTCCCTTTTTCCTCCATCAAAGAGGTATCTTATGGCTTCAAATCAACACAAGGACCTTTTTTTTTTTTTTTCCTTTTTTCTTCTAAGTAAATTTCCCTTTAATCAGAGCTACCTGCCTGACAGTAACACAATTAGCTACATGGGACAAAATATCAGCTTCTGGTCTATGATGAAAGTGGTCACCTTTTCATTATAGATCCATAAACAATTTCCCAGTTTTAATAGGTCTGATTGTTATGTTCAAATGGTTAAGTCTGCTGTGAAACAGTTCCAAAGCCTAATTATAACTTCTTTATATAAGTCAATAATGAGGGAAAATAAAGGTCAGGGAGAGCTGGATGGTACCAGTCACACTTCTTATTCAACTCATCATTCTGGAAATGGGTAATGAATGCTAGGGAAATTACTTTCTTCATCTCAGAGTTGGCCTTAGCATATATGTCTTCCTTGAAAACACTACCCATTGAGCTAGAGTCCAAATGCAAAGTGTGAACTTGTGAGCAGCCCACACATTGTCTTATGCTGGAGAAGATTTTTGAGAGGATTTTCAGAGGAAGTTCTCAAAGATTATCCACTTTAAAAAAAAGAGAGAAATGAGAAGTGTTCCCTGGTGGACCACACAGGTGTCTTACAAACACCAGCTTGCATTATTTAGTTCAACACAGAAGTACTTCATCTTCAGCAAACATAGAGCATTGGCAACGTTCCAGGTAAATAAGTTCATGAAAACAAGATGATAAATATATAGCTGATTTTGGTTGTCTTTGCTGTTACTTATTACTTAGGGAGCAACCCTGAAGCATGACAAATTTGATTAGAACAAATGGGAAGACATGGAAGTACATTTTCAAAACCATTTGGTTGCTTTCATGCAAATCAGACTCTCTTTCTACCCTCACTTTCCTTCAAAAAACACACAGTATTCCTACCCTGGTGAGTTGATTTTTGGTGTAATGCAAAGGTATCACGTGACAAGTATGACTGACAAACACAATCCACTATGATGATAGATAGTTACAGAAATTGACTTGTCCATTCTTTCACTCAAGACATGCCTATTTTCTTGCAGATCACTTTAGAAAACAACTACAGTGGTCTCATTCTTTATGCAAGATTCACCACATTGGCCTACAAGCCTTGTAAGAAGCAGGTTTTTTTTGCAGCAGTAATTCCCTGTAACAGTACCCATCTTGAACTCAGTCAGTTGTGTAATGTGACTGAGTTGTTTCACAGGCATCCGTGTACACGTTCCCCTGACCTACAGTCTCTTCTGCTCCACATCACCTCTTCAGGTTAATTTCTTATGAGTCCTAGAGAAAGGTCCACTCTAGGAGGATTTTGAAGAAAATCATGGTTATTGCTGTTATTGCTTTGCTTTATGTACTGAAAAAAAAAAAACAAAAAAAACCAAAAAACACCTTCTGGGGAGAGTGTAATTCCAACCCATGTGAACTGTTACAGTATGGAGACAAGGATTACCAATTTTCACTTAAACATTAAGTCAGAAGCAGATTACACTCACCATAACATTTAGGAGGTATCCAGGCATTGATACTGGAATTCCAGCTGGGACAGGAATACTTGGATGTATAGCAATATAATAGCGTGGGTGTATGCTGAGCTGCAGTCTATTTATCTATACCCACATCTGACTAAAGCTGTCATTGCATAAACATCAGGGCAAGTTGGACAGCATTTCTTCTCATGACTCTCCAATAGTACAATGACTGTTATACAGCTTAATGCTCTCTCTCATTGACCTGAAGAGACACTATAGGAGCATTCCTGGGCTGTAAATTCATGTTGTGGATTATTTTAGGTAACTTGTTCAGTTATTCTAAATGTAGATGCTCATTCTCTCCCTTGGCTGGGATGACCTGAGCTTCACAAGTGGCCACACAGTAGAGCTGTCTATGTTTCCAACAACAAAAACCCATTATGTCTAATGATGTGCTTCTCCATGCCCCAACTTGAATCTCGACACTTCCGAGAAGCTGACTGTACTTCTTGAAGTCCATTCCAGATGGACTCAGTGAGGTTGATCTCTTTCCTCATGCAGGTGCTGACCATATGCTTAGAACATACCTATGTTATTGGACCACATATTAAATATTATCAGAGAATAATGATGGGAATCACTTTTTCCTCAGTTGCTCAGCATACGCAGCAGGGACCTCTTCCTGATGGATTTTTAGACATGTTGTCTCCAGAGTACTGTCCTGGACACAAAGTCAAGAAGAGCCTTCCTTAGTTTTGCCTTTGGTAAGCCAGTATGTACATGAGATCTTCACTGGACCACAGGAAGAGAGCAAAAATTGGAGTGGATGAAAAAATGCAAAAATATGTAACATCCTAACATAGTGACCACTGTCAACAACAGAAGAGAGGGCTGATTCAAGTCACAGTCTCATTTTTGGGGTATGAAATATGATTTTTTTTAAATTGCAGCAGTAGTTAGAACTTCATGGACACTTCCAGTTTTTACCCTAGCCTTTAGGCAGAAGTTCACATTGTTTTTCACTGACTAGCCTGGTGAGAACACCACCTTCCAGAAAGTCCTATTACCTAATAGCTAGGATGTCACAGTTGTCAAGGCATGGGTTCCCATCTGGAGCTCTCACATTTTAATTTTGAGAGTGCCATAACATGCAGTCATTATGCAGTGAGCAGGGTTGCCACCTTTGAAAGCAAGTTCTAATACACATGCAAAATTCCAGGAATAAAGATAATATTTGTGACAGCAGGCAAGCACTTTGCTGCAGTTTCAGTGAACTTTCTGAAATAACTGGGTCATAAGCTTCTAAGTCTCCATCCCTAGAGATGGAGACTGCTCAAGCAGTGGTTGGACCAGATGGCCTCCAGATGCTCCTTTCAACCTCAGCCACCCTGTGATTCTCTAAGATGTTTCCTGCCAGCTTACTTCAGAAGCTTTAAACCAGAATGTGTTGGATCTGTAATTTTAATTTTTAGAGGTGTAACATCCCCTGCAATTTTAAAGCTGTAAATATGGTACTCAGAACTGTGAGCGACAGTCAGAAAGGTCAATCAACACAAAAAACCCTGAATTATTCAACACGGTTGTAGGAAGAGAGGAGTACCTCCAGAGCTCCATTCAGAAAAGCTGAAGTTGGAACAAATGACATATGGTGAAGGAAGGTTATCCTTTGGTTTTCCTCTTTTTGTTTGCTTTGGAGTTTTGTTTGGTTGTTTGTTTTTAAATTGGAAAGCATTTCATAGAGGAAATTTGCTAGAATTTTCTGAAGATTCTGAAGATTTGTGGACGCAATCTGAGAAGGCCTCATTCTCATTTCACTTCAAGATCCCAGGTGTTTCAGGATCTAGCTTATTCAGCTGACATTTTATAAATTACAGTGATGTCTGATGCAGTAGGAAGCTCATCAATGCATTGTCTTAAAACTTAGTAAAAGAATCCAAACAGATGAGAAATTTGAAAATTGCTTTCCTCCCAGCAACCAGTAGCCTGGGATGGAGACCCCTTACAGTATTGCTTGGATCTTGTGTGTAGAACAGATTTATGTTTAGGTATCTATTACGAATGTGTTCATGAAAAACAAGGAATCAGGCAGTAGTATTACTGGAATCGATCATCTGCTCTGCTATTTTTCTGTTGAAAACTCTTCAATTGAAATTATTCATATGATATGGTGTTGTGAGGCTAAACATCAAACCCTGGGGACACGGTCTTGAAAGGACTTGTTCTTGAAGAAACAGATCGCATAAATGTTCTGCATAAATATAAGGCACTTTGTTTTGGGGCTGTCACATAAGGGCAACATTTATGCTACCAGTTTGGGAGAAGCTTGTTCAACAGGATGAATGTTGTTCAGAATTCTTGCAAGGGGATCTTATATTATGCAATTAACTTCAATGACAATTTGCAAGGATTGCTCAGAACTAATTCTTCCTTCTGCTGTCTAGCAGAGAATGACTTAGGAAATTTTCTTCTAATGCATTGTATCATTTCGCATTACTCTCCAGTGTCATTAAAACTCACTCCTTATATACTAAATGCTTATTAATAATGTTTAGTATGCAATGATGTGAACAGATTAGTGACTATTTCCCTGAATTAAGCAACAACTTGGAAGCAAAAATATAAGTATAGATTTATTAGAGAAGTTATCTAAAATACAACTTTATTTCCCCCTTAAATTAGAGCATATATTATTTCAGTGAAAAGATATTTTGTACTCTATGGTAACAATTTTAAAAGATAATACTTAATTTAGGACATTTTTAATTAAAAAAATCCAACACTACCATGAAGACAATCAAGGTTGTTGACAGCATGGGTAAAAATGTAAAATGGTCTTCAAAATATTTACATGTCAGTTTCTTAACATCTAAGTCTAATTCTCAATATTCATTTTACTTTTCCTTCTCAATATACTTTTTTTCCTATACTATACCTATATTTTGTATTCCTGTGCTTTTGACAAAGCTTCAAGTTATCATTAGTTATATGTACTATCACAACAGTGGATGAGGTTTCTTAGAATGGCTTATTTTGCTATCACCATATGCTCTCCCAAACAGCCAATATATTGTTTGTTATACCAAAATGTCAGTCAGAGCAAGTCATCAAAATGCATACAGCCCCCCCTCAGGTTTCCCTCAGCCCCACACATTAAGAACCCCTTCCTGTTTGGCTAAGAGCCTTTCACATTTCATTAGCTGGCATTTTAGATGCAGAGCGAAAGAGAGAATGAATATGGGAGACAAGTTGTTGCCAGGGCACACATGGCAAAGGTTTGATTTGTGCTTAGGAAAAAGGGTTCCTCACAAACACAGCAGTTTCTAACACACTCATCGCTGAGGTTTACTGGAAGGAAGCTCTGACTTCCCTGCTCTTCAGAGGCTGGCATGGGCGCCAGTTGTCCACCATGCGGCACACCGGCTCATTCTCAGCACTGAAGCAAAGGCCACGGAGTTTGCACATCTGTGGGAAAAGGCACAACCATCCTCAAATGAATACTCATTGCAACAGGACTATCTGATTTACACGTCACCACCCCAAACCACGAGGCTCAACTAAACCTTTCACCAACACTAGTGATGTAGAGAGACATCTACATATGGTTCTAGCATGGGCACCATACATAAAAGGGATTTAAGAGTTCAAAGGGTAAGCTTCAGGACTAGTTTATATTTATAAGCTCAAGATTTATTTATATCTTCTGAGCATGCAGTTGCAAACCTCAGGATAGAATATTGCCTCTTTGTAATTTCATTAATGGATGGTGCAGAAACCTTGGGCCAGGACTGATTTAGTCTGAATGAACTCCTTCCCACTAGGAAGGTTCCATCCTTCTCAAGCTGCACAACAGAAAATGAGACTCTTCTTAGACAAACGACTTTTGGAATCTGCAAATTTTCACTCTTCCAAACAAGGCAGTTAGGATTGTTACAGTTGTGCATGGGATTTCCCAGTCTGTTCTGTGATGAACAGTCCTTGTAACATGAGTTCTGCATATCCTGGAAATGCTCTAAGATCTCAAAAATCAACAAATCAGCCTCAGATTTACAGTACACTACTGCAGATGCAAAATGAATGTTCTTCTGATACATGATAAACCTGTTATTTTCAGGGCAAGTACACACAGATAGGTGGCTTGTGCATGTGCAGCAAACATGTTGATGCCCACAGTACATGTTAGCATTTTTCTTCACATGCAAATAGTCTTTTCATGTATTCTACCTTTTTTTTAAAAAAAACAAAAAACAAACCAGCAGCTCCAACTTGATTAAATTTTTAAAACTCTTCACATTGCTTGAACTTCATCCAAATGGAGGACGATCTTTCATTTTACATCAACCTCCACTTCCACATAAAGAAGCAGAGCTTGCCAGAAAAAGGCAACCACTTCAGATTCATATTTCTATGTGACATTAGCTGTTTCAAGGATCACTTGGAAGACTGAATCAAAGCAATCAATAAGATTGGCACTATCCCAGAGAGCTACCTGCTCAGAGCTGACAGTGATGGGTTCCTTCAGAACGTGCCAGATCACACATTCATTCAGTGGTGGAGTGGTCAGTGAGCCAGGGTACGTCCAATAGTCTCTGCATGCAGGCAGCAGTCCAGTAGGGTCAAAGTTTGTGAAAGAAGCTTGTTTCCCCTGCAATAAAGAAAGTAGGCAGACTATTGTCAAAGAAGTGAATACAGACAACCACTGGGCTTGTCACACTTAAGTCTTCTACAGAATCTCTATATTTGGAGGAAGGGAGAAACTGAGTTAGGCATATAGGGTTAGTACCTCTTATGGTACAGGCATTATGTACATTCAGCACTATATTCCTTATTTTTCAGGACAGTCAAGATGTTTCAGCATTTCAAATGTTGAATTTATGGGCTTTTCCTTCACAGATATGACTTGATCTTGCCTAAGGGAACAGTGAGATTTCAGATGCAGTGTACACTGGGAATACAGAAACTGAGAGACCTGTTGTCCAATGAAGTAAATGGCAACATCCATTTATGTCAAATGGAGACCGATGACAAAGGTGACAGGGAAGTCTCGTTCTTTACCTTTTCCATCCATGCATCTTGTTGGCAATGGCCTTTACCCATTATGATAGTATTTTATTACTAAATAGACATATCTAGTTTCCAATTACTCAGCACATTAAGATTCCATATATGCTTTACACAGTATTTAAAATACAAAAGGCTAACTTTTTCCCCAGTTTTTATCCTGATCAAACTTCTTATCTGGAAGATGATTCTTACCTTACAGGTTTCAATGCAGCTGAAAGACAAACAGATGTAGTCACAGATACAAATTACCTGCCCTCTAACCTAACTTACTTTGAACATCCTTCACTTTAATAATTACAGAAGAATTTGTGCTGATGTGACTTTACTCTCATACACACAGTGGACATGAAAGAAGTAGAGAATCTACTTTCTAGACCAGTTTTGTCTGGTCGCATTCAACACAGAATATTACCTTGGTTTGAATGGAGTTCAGAGCATCAACAACTTTCTGTATTTCAGGTTTGGCATTCCCTACCTGGAACACAAACAGCATGAAAAGAACTTTACAGAGCAGTTTTGTGACACCTTAGTTTTCTCTTAGAATTCTCAAGCACACATTTTGTAACACATTTTTATAGCACCAGTTCATTGCATAACAGGAATATTAAGCAGAAGTGACTGCAACTGTCTCTCTAAAAATCATGCCAGTTGACTGCACAAATAGGTCAGCTGAGGACACTGGTCAGAATAAAATTGTTATTTCAATTTACAGCATGTGGATTTTTGGATTTGAGCTGCTATTTCTTCATAGAAGCCACACTCCTAATAGAAGACCGTGAGGCCAGGACAGAGTACACACAGTTGGGATACACCTTCAAGAGCTGTGAAGACAATTTGGCTGATATGAAATGCTCTGGACATTTAACAACAGCAGGGAAATTAAAATAGTTAATTAGGCTGGTCTTACTATAGATTCGTATATACGACTTGGTCAGTAATGCAGATCATTTCACTGTTCAAGTCACAGCAGTGCCAGTATGATGGAGGCAAGCATGCTGCTGTAGGGTCATCACAGTGACAGATAAAAGCCATACTCTACTGTAGGTGTACAGTTTTTGTATGTACAGAAAATCAAGAACCTGGAGCATCATCTGATTTGTTCTGGGCTTATGGAGTATAAAATAACATTGCTTCGGTTGTGGATGCCCCGTCCCTGGAAGTGTTCAAGGCCAGATTGGATGGGGCCCTGGGCAGCCTGGTTTAACATTAAATGAGGAGGTTGGTGGCCCTGCGTGTGGCAGGGGGGTTGGAGATTCGTGATCCTTGAGGTCCCTTCCAACCCTAGCCATTCTGTGATTCATTCTATGCTTTGGGCTCCTGATTCCACATGCAACACAGTGAACATACTATACTAACACAAATAATATAAAGAAGTTTAACTAACCTTCATGAAGATGCCTACCACAGCCAAACCGTCAGGATGCTTCACAGCTTCAGAAAATTTGCCATATTTTACATTCCAGTGAACAATATGAAGCTAGGAACAAGAAAACATGGAGCACTGTGAAAATTATATTCCATCCATAATATTTGACAAATGAGAATGCAGGGAAGTAATTTATTAAACATTAAGAGCAGATGGTGTTTTACTGCTGAGATTTAAAACTTTGTGTACAGTTAAAAATTTGTTACATAATTCATTAACTTTGAAGTTTCGTTTATGCAAAGAGATTTCTGTCATGCATTTTATTTTGCTTCTGACTCTTGCTCCCAGATGAGTTTTAAATGCAAACTGTGGGCTGCATCTTCCTGCTTTTAGTTTGGTAAAAGTCCTCTTATCTTTACAATGACTTTTTCCTACACACAGCCCACAGGATTTTACACAGTACTTCTAATATAGCCAGGTATTCACCAGTTTTTATCAACACAAATACATGGTCCTACAGTGTAACAACTGAGAAGACATTAAATACAGTTCTGACCTCCACTCTAAACAAAAAAACAGAAAACAACAACAACAACAACCCAGAAAAACAAACAACAATGAACTACCCAGCCCTTTCATGGAAAGCCTTTGAAAAAGATATCACAAGAGTATCGAGGCCACTTCAGGAAAGGTGCTCTTTTATTTTTTATTTCAAAGTTATTTAGTTCATATGGCTGTTTCCCAATATCTGCAACTCAAGTTGAACAAGTAATTATGGTACTGTGAACAGATGTGAGGCAATGGCAGGATTTTTTCTGGATATGCCTAAAGTGAATCCTATCTCATGAAAAAGCATCAAAGCTGATAAATTTGTGAGGCCATTCAAACTGCAGTCACAGTCAGCAAATGTGTGCATTTATGGAAGGGTTAAAAAGGTATTTCACAGCAGTCATTCATTTCTAATCTCTGTACTATCTTTGGAGAACTCACTGCTCTCTTCAAATACCTGAAAGGTAATTGCAGTGAGAGCAGGGTTGGTCTCTTCTCACTGGTAACAGGATGAGGGGAAACAGCCTCCAGTTGCGCCAGGGTAAATTTAGGTTGGATATCAGGAAAAACTTCTTTACAGAAATGGTAGTTAAGCACTGGAATAGGCTCCCCAGAAAAGTGCTTGAGTCACCATCCCGGGATGTGTTTAAAAATCACTTGGATGTGGTGCTCAGGGAGATGATTCAGTGGAGGGCTGTTAGAGTCAGGGTAGTACGGTAAGATTGTGGTTGGACTCAGTGATCTTGAAGGTCTTTTCCAACCTGACCAAGCCCATGATTCTATGATTTGCAAAGGGCTGATCCTAATGTGGCTCTGCACCAAAGTCTTCCATGGTAATCCCCACAGTCTCTTGCCCCATGAAGGTTTGTAGAACTATTACTATCACAGTGGAAATTGGAAAAAAAAATATCAAAATACTCATTAGATACACAAGACTGGAAAGGCAAACCACATCCTACCTCAGCATCATACTTCACGCCATCCACAGTGTGCTCAGAGCCCTGGCCCTCACAGGATCCCCAGTGAATGTGAAACTGCACCAACCTGTAGACTCCATCCAGCGCTCCTCCTTGCAGCACTGCAAAGCAAAGAGCCTCCATTAGCACCTCCCAGAACATCTGCTATCAAGTCTCACTTCAGACTGGAACATCCACTCAAGTCTCCCAAGTGAATTAATTTATTGCTCTGCATGCTGTCATGCTACTCCAGATTGTCTTCAATGGTACGCTGCTGCAAAAAGCCCAAGTCAATAACAAACATATAAAACCATAAGTGAATTTACAGTGAGTGTCATCAGCAATTAAGCATGCTATTATTACAGGTGACAAGGGAAGAGTTAAGGATGAAACTTTTCTGTCACCAAGTAAATAAAAAAGTCCAAGAAAAAGACTAGCCCTGCAAAAGGTTATTCTGAGAAAGTACACCTGAAGACCAAATCATACTTAATTTAGTGTTGTACTCCATCTCCTCATTTTGGGCAGTTTATCCATTAAGACAAATCCTGTGGTGAATTTGATCAAGTAAAACACTTTTGACTCCAAATTAAACCCAAACACTTAGCTGTGAGCAGATGCTAGGTAAAGTGCTGGACACAGCACAAGGCACTGTAAAGATCCAACTCTGCCTATCCTATTTTTTTCTCCCCAGAATATAAGAGAATGGTGGTAAGAATAGTTATGCTGCAGAAGCCTTTTTTTTTTTTTTTTTTTTTTAAGTTCGGTTTAGATATGAAGCATTAACTTATGCTTCCCACTCCCTGTGATGTGACTGTCATAAGAGGAGAGCCCAGCCACACATTCAATCACACAGGAGCAAGCTCCCCTGTTCTGCTTGTTAGCTTTAACTCTGTACTTATTCTATGACCAATCACCATTACAATATGCAGGATCAAGCCCCATTAACTGCCAAATGCTGAAGGCACAGACAGCAAGGCAGCATGACGCATGGAACAGTAACAAACAGTTCTGTTCAGTGGAACTAGATATATAAGTTATTAAGGCAAGGTTTTACACAGGTTTGTGTTTTTTCTAAGTGTCTCAAATTCACTATTAAATCCTTGAGGTGCTAGTATTTAAAAATCAGAAATATTTTTAAAATATCATTTGAAATACTATAATCTTACAGATCTATTTCTGTATATAGGTGCATAATACATACATAAAGTGACAGAAGAGTGTTGACATGAGATGTTAGACATACGTGTGCCCTGTGCACGTGCCACAAACAAAATGATTCTGTGGAGTGAAGAAGATGCTTGCCTCCTGGTCCGCAATAAATCTAGACATGGAACTATCACACGTGCAGGTGTGAAAATGTAAACCAAACGCAGAGTGGAAAAGGTCACTGTTCAGATTTCTTCTGATTATACAAAAGCATGGACAAACGTAGCTGCGGATACATGGAAATGGAGGAACTCAAAGAGGTGAGCATTTGACTAAACAACTGGAATACATGAAATTTAGACGTAAGACGTATGAAACATATTAGTTTCCACTTGTGTGCATTACACATGCAGAATTTGGTTCAGTGGACAAACTTAGCGTTTGCCCAGAGCTCCTTCTCTGGCAAATAATTTTAGAAGTCTGCCAACACATATTTTTGTTTAAAAAAAATGTGAATATATGTTCCACTACAGTTTTTACAAATTTTACTGTACATAGCCAACAGAGCAAGACTTACCCTGCCTACTGCCAAACTGTGTGATACAAAGAGGAATGGCTGTTTGAAGTAATTAAACAGGCACATATTTTATTCTACTCCTGTATTTCTACACGTTCTAACAGCCAAGGAGCACAACTGTTTCAAGCACAGTACTGCAAATTGGAATGAGTTTTTTTTTTTCAGAATGGTTATTGCAAATGTGTGCTAGCTCCATTTTAAAATGTAATCAGATGCTAAATCTTTACTGATGCAAAATCATGTAAGCCACATAATAACATGTTTCAATTAAAAACAATGCCATGGAGTTTCAGTTCCTTTGGCTAATGGACTTGCTGCTTGTTGCAGATACAAACGGACCATGGTCTCACCATTCCCAAACTTCAGAAGCACTAGCATAGCATAGGTTAATCTGCCATTATTAATCAATGGAAAGCATGCTGAAGAGCAGAACCATGCAATATTCTCAAATCCATTTGCGGTGTTATTTCTACACAAAGTTTGCTATAGCTTCATAAAAGTCAAAAGATGCACAAAGTCTCTTTGCAGTTTTTGCTTACTTTTCTCACTCTGTGGTTCTCAAATCCAGCACTAGTTTATTTTGTCTCACAGCAGAGCATTCAAAGAAAGTAATAATTAGATTAGTGTGAATGAATACAAATTCAACAGTCTTAATTACACAACAGGCCTTCTTGTTCTAGCTTCCATTAAGCAGTTGTTATTTTTCCTTAATATTTTCCAGCCTTTCCAATGAAGTAAAATTTAAACTTAAAACACAAATGTGAAGATATACTGAAGAAAAGAAGTGTTTGTTTGTTTTAAACCATGAGCAAAGCTTTTGTAAAGCAAAAACACCTGGAGCATCAGAGCAACATTTCCACTGGAAACTTCCCTACCCCTGTCCGTGTGACACAAACATCAGTTCAGGTCCCACTGAACTGAAGCCCAGCTCTTCTCTCCTTTTTTGAGGGATGGGAAAATTCTGATCCATATTTGAGCACTTCAGCATTAGTTCTCCTCCTTTTGAGTTCAGTATTCCTCTAACCCAGATGTAAATACAGATGTAGCTCTGTCCCCTTTCATTATATAGCACAGCTTCAGATGCAGAGTGAAGACAGCACCGGACAGCTTGGAAAACACATGATTTTCTCATAGATTCTTCACTCTCAATCTACATCAATAAACCAGTCTCCACAGACACCTAGCAATCCAGAGGTAGCAGCTTGGAAATGCAGCTTTTCTTCTATTCGACAGTTATTTGAAATATTGCAGTGAGACAGATTTGGAGCAATTTTGCTTAGATTAAGAAACAGCAACTGTTCTCAACCTCCTACCACTTACTGAAGAAGTTACACTACTAACATCCAACAATTATATTGCACTGCTGTTACATGACCTCATAACATTTTCTAAATTAGGTGAAAATAAGTACAAGCAGAGCTAATTTGGAAAGCTAAATAACCACACAAACGGTTCTATTAATGTCTGTGGGATTTCTGGGATAAAGAAGGTGAACTATCTTTGTCTCCATTTTGTGCTCATGGGATATTTGGAAATGCACAGAAACCCAGGACAGCTGCTCATTCAGGCCATGCAACCTCACTGCTGTTTCCAAAGGCAGTCACTGGGCAGTCACTTTTCCCATGCTGAACAGGACAGCTTTACAAGAAATTCTGTGGACTACTTTTTCCTCAGGAAGTGGCAGTAGCCACTAAGTTGCTAAGTTAGGCAGGAATACCATGCAATTACCACAGCTCCCTGCATAAGGATGTAACAGGGCAGGAGAGTAATAAATCTCACTGAAGCAATAAACTTGTCAAAGAAGTAATCAAAATGGCTGAACTATAAGATAGCTTCCTGAGACAGAATGAATTTCTTCCTGTTATACAGATCAGTGCGATAACAAAACGCTACTCTAAACTTCATGATTCTGAGACAAAGCTGAATGAGAAAATGGCCTTTGAATGGAAATAATTGACAGCAAAACTCCTTCCAGGAGATGAAACAATGGGCTCACTGCAGCACGATGGATGTCAAGAGCTCGAAACAGAAAAGGTAGTTCTAATGAGATATCGCCAAACTAAAAAGTAGCAATAGGACAGTTCTGCATATAGCTTTGAGCAGAGCCCAAAGCACAGATTGCTTTGGCATAAAAAAAAAAAGCCATGATTCTCTAGCTGCCTCCAGTAGACATGTGTATGCATATAGCATTATAGATATGTGCATATAATGTACATATTGTGCATATATTTATAATGTTAATGTTGGATAGGCATTTGTGTATACACAGATATCTATATGCTAGAAAACAGACCCTGCAGAGATAAAGCAGAAAAACATCTCAAGCACCATGTACTATTAATGGCATAAAAAGGCTCTTATGAATATGCTCAGGGATTAGCCTTGTGTTCTCATGCAAGGATGGACTTCCCCATCTGATAGTCTGAAGGGTTCAGCTGAGGTGAGCTGTCACTTCTGTGAAACGTGGAGTATAGAATATTACATTTTGTGAGATGTTTCCTTCTTTACGTTATCTCTTTCAAACATTCCTCCTAGGACACTATATCATGGCAAGCAGGAGAGTAAGACAGGACGCAAGCGTATGATGTAGAGATCACACTTGCAGAAAACATCTGTATAGCTTCACCAAAAGAACCTACGTAATTGGTATCTCGTAAGAAAAAAAAAAGCCCTGCTGTGACCTAGCACAGGGGGCTAGCCTGATAAGGTAGCAAGGGTGTTCCGGAGAGATAGGCCAGAATTAAACAAGTGCTGAACTGTACCACGTCCGCATACGTGTGTATCAGCAGCTGCTCAGTGATTTCAGTTCAGCCCTGCTGAACTACTTGGCACAGACCGGGCAGCAGCCAGACAAGGCTCTGACCTGCTTAACCATCCTAAGTCATTCAGGTTCACGTCTTTCCTTGTCAGCCCTTCAGGTCATTTGTCTGTACAATTCCAACAAACATCTAAGTGGGAATGCTTGTATGCATGTGAATGTTAGCCTGTACAGAAGGAAACATCCACTAGCCACTGGGAATAAGTTAAGGAGAAGTGGCAAGAGAAGTGGCTATTTAAAAGAACAAAATACACTTTAAACTATTTATAGATGCAGCTTGGGAGTATTAAACACTTGAAAATTTGGCATTATGTTATGAACAATTTGTTCACATGATATATTGTCCCTAGTACAAGAAGGGTACTATTCATTTCACACAGTGAAACCCATTGCTCTGAGAACTAGGAGAATTTTTATGTGTCATAAGGCACTATAGGGAATGCCTGATCACCATTCAGTCTTCACCTTTCAACCCACATAATTTGACAATGACTTCCAAAGTACTGAGTTGGAAGCATTAAGATTCTCTTAAGAGTAACAGTTGGCTTCATTTCTGACAGGTGTAACTATAACACTAACCT